ATTATTCTCTAGAAGTGATATCTGTAATTATGGTTGATAAAAAATGGATGATGTTAAAAATTCAGTTCATTCAAAATCTCTTATTGCAAATAAAACAAGGCCTTTATAATTTAGAAAGTCAATTCAGCAGAGAATCAGCTAAACATTAATGTATATGTACATACATGTATGTAGGTATATTTTAGTTCAGATTTATTTATTTATTTATTTTATTTTATTTATTTTATTACATTTGTATCCCGCCCTTCTCCTTGCGGACTCAGGGCGATGGAATTGATGCTTTTTTAATGATAAGGAATTGTTAGATATTCAGTATAGACATCAGAACAAAAGGAGACAGCCCAACAACAATTATTAAATAGTGCTACACAAATTAGGGTATGACTATAACATCTTACACTTCTGGAGCATTGCTGAGACTACCTATTCTCAAGGTCTCATTTCCACCCTCCTATGGTAGAATATTTTGTAATTTAGCTGCCAGCCAAGTTTCTTCAACTACTTTTGAGTAAAATTTGGCAAAATACTGTAATGCACAGTCCCTCCTTGGCCTAGAAACTCAATTTTGTGTTGAAACTTGGGCTTGGATTGATAGAAAATTTAAACCACCCAATTTACTTAAAGGCTGACTGGGTTATTCTAGGAGTTGATGTCCACAAGTCCTAAAGTTGCCAAGGTTGGACTTAGATAGTTTAATTAGTGTATATTGTGAATTTCAGAGGCAGTCTCAGCTTGTAACCAGCATATGAGCCTATTCTTATTTGGTTACGCCAACCATACTAAGCAGTAGTATCACATATTTTATAATCATACAAGGCTGATTGCACATAAACATATCTACTACAATTCCATTCCCCTCTCTAATTTCATTCAATATGAACTACGAACTAATGCTTCCATGTAAGTATCAGTTTTACTGAACCGAAATGGGGAACCTGGGGACATTCATTGTCTTGTATTTTAATTTTTTTATTAGGTATTTCAAACGGAATTAAATAGGAAAAATTATATTAGTATTAAATGCATATGAATAAATAAATAAATGAATGAATGAATGAATGGTTGAACCAAGAAGGGATTCGGAAATGTCATGGTGGTTATACTTTCCCAATATATCATTAGTTATTTAGTAATGAGTAACTGAATATATTATATGACTAAAATTGCTATTAAGCTTAAACAAATGTGAATATCAATAACCATAATCCAAAGAGTATAAATCCATGATTTATAATTTACAATAAATTCTGTTCATGTTAGCAAAAGTCTGTTCTGTTTTGGAAATCTTGTAAAATAGAAGTATTGACTTAGGCATAGAGAAACTTTTGGTTGTATTGTAGATATTAATGATGTACAACTGCCATACTGGCTAGAGGTGTAGTCAGGACTACAGTCCACTGTCTCTGCATTAAGCTCAGCTGTATGTGAATATATAAGACAAAGAATAAGCCAGTTTAGTGTAGTGGTAAAGATGCTGGCCTAGCAACCAGGAGACTTGAGTTCTAGTCCTGCCTTAGGCATGAAAGCTGGCTGGGCAACCTGGGGCCAGTCACTCACTCTCAGCCCCACCAACTTCACAGGATAGTTGTGCCTTGAATTACTTATAAAGTTTGGATAAAAATATTATAATAGTGTATATGATGCACATAGTCCCAGGCTGGTGCCTATGTGCATTCTTTTATATTGAAAGTGTTCCATGCCTTGTGTTAATATAATCTCAAGATAAAATACCCACTGTTAGAATCATGAGATATTTTGTTCCTTATTTAGATCTCAGACCAGCCAAAGTGTATATGTGAGCCTGTAGCTTTTTAATAACTGCAACAGGAGAAGAAAGTTTTAGGGCTTTTCTTTAGTGTTTTTTTTTAAATCCCACCATTATTACTTTATAAATAATACCTAATACTCCTTTCTCTGATTTTTTGCACAACAACAACCTGTGAGGTGGTTTGGGCTGAGAGTGAGTGACTGGCCCAAAGTGACCCAGCTGGCTTCATGCCTAAGGTAGGACTAGAACTCACAGTCTCCTAGTTTCTAGCCTGGTGCCTAAACTACTACACCATATTTCTGCCATATGAATGCTTTCATTCTTTTGAGAAAATAGCAATTACTTATACTTCTTGAAAGAAGTGCCTGTTATCTTGTAATTGCATCATTTTCAGCTGGAGAAGGGAATATTTTCTATCTAATAAAAGCCAAACAGTTACCCTAATAGAGTCATCAATTCAAAGACAATATGGCATACACCAAATTCTACAGAAAGGAAAAACAGGCTGCAGAGCAGCAGAGAGAGTTGTAAAAATATATGCTGTCATTAATGCTCTAATTGCCTTCTTGGTGAATCAGGTTTACATACAGTATGAATGCATTCACAACATTCCAGACTGATTTAGTAAGAAAATAGTAAAAGGGATTGCAGGAAACAGATTCTGTACCACTTCCCTCTCACTAATGTTAATGGAGATATTTCTGGATAGTAGAATCTTCCATTAATACGAATGCAGAATAACTAAGAGTCTTTTTCTTACAGAATTGTCCAGTAGAACAGCATTCCTCAATATTGACAGCTTTCAGATGTGAGGTTTCCAACTTTAGCTGGGGAATTCTGGGAACTGGGAGTCCATACATATAAAAGGTGCCAAAGTAGAGGTGAGAAAGGTGAATATGCAGTAGAATACATAAATAGTACAGGACTTTCTATAGCTTTTTGAATTGATCAAATATGCCCCTCAATTGCCCACTGAAATTGAGCCTAAATAGTTTATATATTTTAAATCTCTAGTTTTGTATCTGATTTGAAGTGATTACAAATGCTGGAGAAGTCTTATGGCCTCCTGATCAATTTCTAAATTGGTCACATCGCAGTTAAGGCAGCCTGAAAATGTGGATGGTTGTTTGGGAATTGCATGTATTTTTTATACTGTATATCTTCTCTATAATCCTTCTTCATCATAATTGTTCATACTACAACAGAGGTTCCCAACCTTTTGGGCACAAGGGACCGGTTCCGTGGAGAGAGGTTTTTCCGCGGACCGGAGGGCACATGGTTTCGTATGCTGCTTGCATCCTGCAGATGGGGCTTGACTTGTTTGTGTGGACCAGTTGCTGGCATGCCACAACCCGGTACTGATCCACGGACTGGGGGTTGGGGACCCCTGTACTACAAAACAATTGCAATAGGAAATGCAATACATTTGACAGCAAATAC